CAATCAAGCATACACAATAGCAAGGGATCCTGACTAGGGAAGGTACTTGACTAATATGACAGTCAAACATGCTGAGGCCAAAAATTTTGTTGAGGGCTGAAATTTCAAACCAAATGATTTTCTTAATGCTGCTTTGCTATGACAATCTTAATTTTTTTCTAGCCACTATCCATTGCATGATGACAAGTAATAACTTAAGTTTGGGGGTGTGATAACTCCATAAAAGACTCTATTTCTAGTCTCTTTACTTAAGTTATTGCTCGTCTAAACAAAGTATGCACAACATATTAGTTGCATTTAGGTTATATTTTTTTGTGGTGGATAAGTTTTGTTTCGGAAAAATTTATTTGGTTTGACTGATGTTGCTGAGGAGAAAGGGTTTGTGTGGATTATGTATGTGCAGGAAATTTACTAAGGAAGAACATTTCAGCCGAGACAAAGTAATTCAGAAGGGCAAGTGGAATAGAGAAGTTAAAGAAAATGAGGAGCAGATTTATCTCGCCAAGGCAAGTTTATCTTGAAAGTCTGAAGTGGATATGACGAATCGCCTATGTCAAATGCCAGTTGTACGACTTTCCTCATGTGCAAGGAAGCCCTCAAGATTCTGACAACAGCCAGCCGCCTTTCCTTTTTTTATCCTGGATAAGACAATAACAGGTATCTAGAGAATCTTCACTTATGCGGAACCCTAGGAGATTTCCCTTTATAAATATCCAACTGCAACCGCCAACGAAAGAGGGCAATGAAGTTAGAAGAACTTTAACTGAAGCGTGAGCGAGCTACTACAGTGCTTCCCCACTAATTACCAACCGATTGTCCTTGTTGTCCTCCATAGGCAGGCTGTAGCAGAGCTGCGGTCAGGCCTCAAGAGAGGTTGGCCGCCAGGGCAGGCACGGTGTTCATCAAAATTGTCACGACAAAGCCCCCAGTTTTGGGAGTCGTTCTTCCTTTGTTCTTAATTTCTTTACTTATTTGGGGTTGTATTAAAACGATGATACTTTGGTTGACTTTATGATAACACCATGAACTATCTTACTTGGTGTTAATCATTGTTTTGCCTAAACAATTATTTTCGGATTTATGAATGACGAATTATGATAATGCTCATGACTGTTTTGTTCATTATTTAAATATTTTGCCTTGACACTGTAAGAGCTTCGAGAGATTGTCTTGGGTCTAGGTGAAACATGTCTTGACAATGTAAGAGCGTCGAGAAATTAACATTTGTCTATATATTGATTCTTAGATTCGAGAGAACTAAGATAGATCTACGTGAACAATGGAATGGATCGGGATGGTGATGTTCTAACTTGTCTACCTTAGAGATAAGTAGAGAGTTTCAATCGACTAAAAGGGATAGATGATAGAGTAGGATAGAAAACGATTATAGTTTACACTAAGAGGTATTGGTACAACAACAGTCTGACATACCAAGGGTTGTAGTTAACGCTAAGTAGTATTGCCATAACAACTGTCTAATAATACTCAGTAATCTTGTCGGGCAGCTTAGGTATATCATAATAATTCATTCTAGACATAGAATAATTGCTTTTCATAACAAAAGATTAGCATGAGTGCTCTATGAAAAGTCTAAATATGTGAGGTTGTTTTGAATATATTTGAATCAACGTTTACCTTTGCTTTATTTTAATTCGATAGTTTTGCATATTTAATTTGTCTCGACCAAACTTTTCTACAATCATACTTTATAATATTTCCTTTTTTTGCTTTATTACTAATAGTTTTCTAGTTCGACAAGATTCCAGGAATTATCTTGTGACATCTAGTTATGGTTGTGGTGAAACTTAAGAAGAATCGACCAATCCCTGAAGATAGAATAACTCACTTACCCTATATTACTTGATTCGATTGTGTATACTTGCACAAAATTGCTTGCCTTAACATATATATTTACAAGCGATCAAGCCCCCATATTTTATAAACTCATATTATTATCATGTTTTATTTTATTTACTCTGGTTGGACTTTTATCAGTTGTTTTATAATCACATTTTAAAAGAATTTTTTGGGTTAGCCACTTTGGTGGTCCCGTGTAACATTATAATCCATGGATCTTCGGGTAAGATTGGATTAGGATGTTACATTTAGTGGTACCAGAGCATCAGGTTTAGTCGTTTCTATGACCCGTGGGTTAGAGTCAATCAGTGTCTATACATGTACATGCCTCTAGAGAGTTAAAAGTACTATAATGAATGGAATGACGATAATGACCTCCCTTTCTTTCTAATTTCAGTGAAAAACTATGGAATTTGACCTAACATATAGTCAGGATGGCAGAGAAGAGAGACATACCTCACTAGAAGACGACACCAGTGACAAGTTCGTTCTAGATACAGACCAGCACGAGGTACCAATAGATGCGAAGGTAGAGGAGCTGACCGTTTTCAGGGACTCACCTCCGTACTTAGACAAATTGTTAGGTCATTACCTATTACTTCAGCTGTACCATCTTCCCCACCAATACCCCCAAGCTCAACCAACGATAGTACCCTATGAGTCCTTAATAGAGAGGCTTTATAAATATAAGACTATCGAGTTTTTCAGTTCGAGGGATTATGATCCCATAACAGTAGATGAGTAGCTCAGAGAGACCCTTCATACCTTCAAACAACTTCATTTTGCCCCTGAAGGTAAGCTTGAGTGAATTACTTCCCCGCTCAAGGGTGATGCAATTGATTGGTGGAATACAATTAAGATAGCACTGGAGCCAGAGAGACCGACTTGGGAGAGGTTCCATTTCAGATTTCAAGCAAAAATACATCAGGAAGGCCCACATCGATGATCTTAGGGAACAATTTATGCACTTAGTCTAAAGAGATCGGTCAATGATGGAGTATGAGTATGAGTTCCACTAACTGAGCATATACGTACCTGAGTTATATCTACAAAGGAGCATCGCTGTCATAGGTTCAGAGAGGGCCTACACCTCAACATCTTGTCATATCTAGTAGCCAACCCTCCAACAATTTTTTTTAGTTATCCAGCTAGGAAAAGGCAGTTGAGAGAGTCCTTAGCAGGAGGTCCAAGCAGACTAGTGTGACTGTAGGGAAAATCAGGAGAGCACTCAAGACAACGAGTTCAGTTTTTTTAATGCAAAAGCAGATAACTAAGCTAAATCACAAAATTATTGCAGTGTCATTATGCAGCAACCCAAAAATAAAAGCAGGCGGATTTGTATATCTGTTACACCAAAAGGCACAGTCTATGCCACCTTCACCATTACATCCATAATGCTAAATTACGCCCACAACGCAGCATAACGCCCACATCGTAACGTTTTTTAAGGTTACCGCGACGCAATATCGGCGCGGCATGATAAGGGAATCGCATCATGATTGTTACGGTCAAAAATCGTTACGTAACACTGCAACACGCTATAAATTACGCCGTAATGCCGCAACAAACTTTAAATTATCTAAAATGTAAAATTACATAGATGAGTTGTTCTAATTTAATACTTAAAACTGAATTATAAATTATATTATTAATAATATCGTAATAGTTATGTTTAAAATTTTTATTTAAATTTGAATTAATTAAATTATTTATTAATGTTATTTTAAAATTAAATTAATTTAAATTTAAATTGAATTTTTTCTCATATCTAAAATTTGTTATTATATAAATTTTTTATAAGAGAGAAATTCACTTTATAATACTATAATAGTATATGTATTTGATCTATTTACTATAAAATTATACAATTTTATCTAATATATAATATAAAGAATAAATAAATAAATAATATTATAAATAAAATAAAAAGGAATATATTCCTTGACAAAATAAAAAAAGTGATGGTGTGTGCGTGTAGAGGCGCAGAAAAGCAAATAATTGATAGGCATGGTTACATAATTTGAGATCAGACCAATGCAAATAAATAAATAAATAATATTATAAAAAAAAATTGATGATGATGAAGAAGAAACTCAAGGTGAAGATATGAATAGTTCACCTACTCCATCTAATGAGGAAAATGTTCAACTATCGACATCAAGTTATGATGATGGTGGTTGTGATGATCATGGTGGTGATAATGAAGGTACGTATCTACCAGAATATGACACATTTATTCTACTGCTTTTCATGGAGATCAAGGTATGTCCATATATCCTTACGATGACAATTCAAGTTTGTATAGAACTAATGCATCATAAAATAGAAGGGATAATGATGATAGAACTCATAGGAGGATGGGAGAACACTTTTGTGATTAATTTGCAGGTTCATCATCATATAGTTCAGCTACAGATGATAATGAAATTAGTGAATCATCTCATGGTTCTCATTCTAACCAACCAAATTCATGCTATCCACCCTACCTTGAGCAAAATTCAAGTTATGGATTTTTTTTGCCATCATTTATCATACAACATGTTTCCCACCAAAGATGCATCTTATGATGCACATAATATGATGTCTTCTTCACATGGAATAGGAAGGAATCAAAACTAAGACAATGACGAAGATGTAAATGCTTTAGATCTGCCACACCATTCATTTTGGTGATGAACTGTAAGATATAAAATTTTTATATTTGTAGTTATGTTTTTTTTTCTGAGTTATGTAAAATGAACGTTTTTATGTTACAATATAAAAAATTTGATATGATTTTAGTGGTATTGTTTATATGTTATTCATTAACATTATAATTGTTATTACCCATTATCAAGTATGATAGCACTTCTTTGGTTTATATTTGTTTTTAATAAATTTTTATCTATGAAATTAAATTTTTATTTTCAAAATAAAATATTAAAAGAGTATATTAATATTAGTATATTATAAGATAACTGTAAAATATATAAATATAATATTTTAGATGTATTGTGATTTTTGAGGAAGAGATCACGCTCGCGACAGTCGCAACACGTTACGTAACGTCCGTAGTATCCGCAACCGTGATACCACAAATTTGATACTATGATTGCATCCACAACTCGATTAGTGTCTCGCGGCGTGTAAGAGAACTGCAGCCTTCAGTGTTGGTCTATTATCTCGACCAAGTGAGGGATCAAATTATAGTTCCCTTCCATTGCTTTGCCTTGACAAAGAAAGTCATAGACTTCACAAATATCGGTTTCTACCACCGCAGCTTTAGTATCCAAATCCCATGAAACGGACAGCCCCTCGTAAACACTCCACAGCTCAGCATCAAGAACGGAACACCTCCCTAACGCCTTCGAAAACCCCATAATCCATCCACCACTTGAGTCACGTATGGCCCCTCCACACGTCGCTAAACCAGTGGAAGGAATACGAGCGCCATCAGAATTAATTTTAAACCAGCCCGGAGAAGGGGTGCACCATTTGACTACTTCTCAAACCATATTCGAACCTCTACCTGTGCCTCCATACATGACCTCAGGAGCACGAGCAGATTCATCACAAAGACGCTTCCCACACTGGAAGATGCCTTCGGTATCTATGAAATCAGAGACAAAAATGAAATTGTTCCTCCGTGGCCAAAAAGACCAGAGGATTGAACCAAACATTAAATCCCACTCTTTGCCAGTGATCGGTAAAAAAACCCGTGTCACACATTTTTTTGAAGCCATTGCTTTACATCCATGGTGAGAAACTCAAGAAGCCGATTTGGCTTTATCAGACTGGACCAAGTCGCGAGAGCAATAGCGCATCCCCGGAGTATGTGTGAGACAGATTCAATGCCGGAATTGCAAAATTTAATGTTACATATACTTTTCCGAAACAAAAATATAATACATAATCTATGATCTATGGTATTAGATGTACATGAAAAAGATTTAACATGGACTTACAACGTTAATAATATAAATTATTGATCTAACTTTATAATGAAAGTAGGCTTCAAAATAAGCATTTATAGAAAGACGGTAACTAAATGTTTATTGCTTAAACTATTATTTTTTTTTATTTTGGTATCTAAATTTTATTTTTTTAATTATATATAACATTTAGTTTAGGATTTTAATTTGGTGCCTGTAGTTAAAAAAATAACAGAACTTTTGAATTTATTTATTTTATTGAATGATGACATGACATTAATTTATAGACACGTCAATATCACCGTTAAATTTTTTATCAAAATAAAATCTAAACCAAAAGTTAGGTATAATTTTGAAAAAAAATATAAAACTTAAGTACCAAGATATAACAAAAATAAAGTTTAGGTATTAATGTATAATTTACCCAAAAGAATATAACATTCACTTCCATATATACTTCGAAACATATTTCATAACATAAATAAGTTTATTTTGACTATCCGAAAACACATATATATTGTCAATTGGATGTATAAGCACTTTAAGGGGATTATAAACTGAGAAAATCAACGATATTTATGAATTACAACAAATTTATGGAACTACAACATACCCTAAAAATCAATTATAGCAGTATCAAATCACATGTTATTATGCTAAATTGTTAATTAGGAGTTTCAAATCAACTAATAGCGAAGCAAAACAAATGCATTCAATGAATTTACAGAAAAAAAAACAAATATATGCTACCCATATGAAAAACTTAATTATTCAAATATAAAGAAAAAGATGCACCAAAACATGGAGCATGAAATTGAGGATTTATACCCATTTAGTGTCGGAACCGATTGCAATAAATTTTATAAAATTTTAAACTCTCGGATGGGTACACTTGAATCTAAATAAAATATATTATAGATTATCAATAAATTTTCAATGATTGAATATGATGGGATATTGAAGTTACTTGATCGAATTAAATGATAATAAAAAGAAATCAAAATCCTAGATTTAATTGTATTAAATCATTAAAAATAAAATATAAAACTAGATTGCAGAAGCATACTTGAATTCATCGATTGAGATCGTCTGAGAAGATGATTGTGATCTTCCAAAAAGATATGTTTTCTTTTACAATGAAAACTCACTAACAAGATATGAGTAATACAAGTCAACCTATTTTTTGGGATCACTATCTCTTTATATAGATTGAATATTAGGTCGGTCTTTTATATATTTATAATTTTGTTTCTCATCAAATTATAAATACAATTTAATTGCATGACACTTTTATATCTATGACACATGTAGCATAATTGATCCCTTAATTCTCTGTCATATTTTATGATAGCATTGTACATTATACATATATGCTCACAACGATGAATTTTAATCCAACAAAATATTTGTTGAAGTACCACATTTAAGTCCTCAGCAACTACGTTAAATGAGAAAGAAAAATAAGGCACCAAGATTTATGTATATATAAAAAAAAAACTTAACGGACAAAACTCAAAAACAAAGAAGGAAAATTTTCACTATATCAAAAATAAGATTACAAGAGGATTACGACTATGAGCCGATTTAAAGATTAATTAACTTACAACTAACCCCTAATCCCTACCATGTATCATAAGCACTTTAATACAAAAAAAAAAAAAAAAAAAAAAAAACTTGCATAGATAAAAATACTTGAATTCAATTTCTTATTCATAATCAATATCTGATTGCAGAAGTATAATTTTGTGTAGGTTCAACATATTCATACCGTGGGATGAACCTCAGACTCACGATCCGAAATACTGTGGCTGAATAGAGATTTATCTTATTTTTCTTTATTTTATTTATTTACTAAATGAGTTATATCACTAATTATTTGACACAAAATTTAGATCACATGAATCTAATAATTTTGATAGTGTAAATTTATAGAAATACTCTGTTCTCACGAGAGATTAAATGCATGATTCAAGCCATTAAGTGAAGCTAAGAAAACATGTTTGAGATAAGTAGTAAAAATCAATTTTATAACTTTGGGAGGTAACTAACATGCTTTGTTATTTACCTTTTCGATATCATAACGCACGGTTCATGGTTGCTACTTGTTTAAAATGAGAACCATAGAATTTGGAGATGGGGACTTAATTAAATTTAGGGTCGATGTCATTAGAGTAAAACGTGTTCTAGTAGGTTGAGTTTAATTTTAAAATAATGAATGAAAATTACTGAATTTCTCTTATGTTCAAAGTTTTTATTTATTTTTATCAATAATCTTTACAATAAATTGTTAAAAGCTTTCGGTTAGTAATTTTTTTTTTTAAGTTACGGGTTCAATACACGTGGGAGTATAATTTCTCTTATGTTCAAAGTTATTATTTGTTTATCAATAATCTTTACAATAAATTGTTAAAAGCTTTCGGTTAGTACTTTTCATTTTTTTAAGTTACGGGTTCCATACACGTGAGAGTAAAATTCTCCTTTCCCAATATAGAAATTACTAAAAAAAGGTTTATTTATTTTTAATTTATTATTTGATAGAGAAAATAACTTTTAAAAACTTGAAGTTAATAGTAATTAGGTTAAATTATATGTTTGGTATCTAAACTATTATCTATATTCTATTTTGGTATCTAAATTTTATTTTGTTTTAAAACTATACTTAGTGTTTACTTCAGGTTTCATTTTGATACCCTCCAATAAAAACTTAATGGTGATATTGATGTGTTACAATAAGATAACGTCACATCATCATTAAAAAACTAAAAACATGTCACATCAGTAGTTTTATTAATTTTTTAATGATATGGTACTAAATTGAAATCTAAATTAAACGTTAGGTATGATTTTAAAAAATAAAATTTAAGTACTGTAACACCCTAATTTTTGTCTGAGTAATTTAAGGTGATCAAGGACCAATTTTGAGTAATTTGTATTAAATTCAAGTCACACGAGTGAAGAATGACTAATGATGTGAAAAATGGATCGTGAGAGCTCTAAATTATTAGGGAAAAAATTCTTTAAGGTTGTATTGAATTCAAATTCTCTCACTAGTAGGGGTGAGTAAAACTTGACACAACTCAAGAAATTAATTTTTTTAATTTCAAATTAGTCGATTCAACTCAAATTATTAATTCGATTTTTGAGTTTGAGTTGAGCTGAAATTTTATATTTTTGAGTCACTTGAAAAAACAAAACTTTGACTAAATATTTTGACAGTTTTATGATTTAGTCCATGATTTTATTATTTCTTTAATTTCTCATTCACTTTAAGTCCATTTTTTTTTATTAAATTTGAACCTCATGCTCCTAAACCACCGTAGAATAAATATACTTTTAATTTCTCTTTTTGATAGCAAATTTTCTATTTTTCAATTTAGTCCCTTAATTTTTAATAATTTTCTTATTTCTTCAATTCATCCTTATTTTAAGTCCCTTTTCTTATCAAATTTGAACAACATGCTCGTATACATTAATATAATACCTATGTATCTTCAATTCTTTTTTTTAAACTAAAAACTTAATCTTTTTTAGTCCCCTTAACTTTGCATTTTACTAAACAATTGTTTGCAAATTATTTCTTCCCATCAATTCCTTGATTTCTTTATACTCTCATCAATATTTTACTCTCAAAATACTTTCTTTAAAATATTATATTATAAGTATATTTTATAATTTTAGATTGTATTTGATATATTAAATAACATTATAATGTGAAAAGAATATATATATATATATGTATATATATATATATATATGTTTAAAAATTTCAAAAACTTGGAACAAATCCTTACAATAATACTATAAATAATTATAATAAAATTAATATAGAAAATCGAATAACTCGAATCGAATTACTTAAACTCGACTCGACTCGAAAATTTTTGAAGTCAAGTTCGAGCTGAAAAATACGACTCGTCAACTCAAATAACTCGAAATTTTTTTAATCAACTCGATCGAAGGCTCACCCTATTCTCACCAGTCTCGAGGGGATTGAGTGATATGCAAATTTTGACTGTTTGGATTCGGGCTCGCTTGGAGGAATCATGAATAGGCGTTATGTGGCCATTAATATAAGTGAAAAACTAAATTGTTTTATCCGCGTATCATTATGAAAATGAAGTCCAAATAATCAAAATGTCCAAATTTCCATTTACACACCCATTAGAGCAAACCCAAATCCAAACTCAAATACAAGTAGAAAACCCATTTACATTTCCATTAACCATCAGCCCATTAACCATTTAACTCTAAGTTAACCCGGGCACAACTTGACCCAAATTTCTAGGGTTAACAGAACACCCTAGAGAAGCTCCACGTCGCCTGCTGACCGATCAAATTCCAGTGGTCCCCAGACAGCTGCCACATCCTCCCAAGTGACCCTAACAGCTCGTCAGCAAGGCCCCAGCACTGGTTCCCCTTCGTCCGAACGCTCAACGCATGCAACTAAGCATTGGTCCCCCTTCATCTGAGCATTCCACGCCATGAACAAACAAGGCAGTAGTCCCAATCCAGCAGAGCCCCGATGCCTCTCCACGTCGGATCCACCATGTAAACAAGAAGACAAAGAAGATATAAGTTGTAAAAATGAGTCATTTTTTTCTTTTTCTTTTTTTGATCAATTTGTAAACTGTGAATAAATGCGGCTCCCGGTCCCCATTCGTTTGCATAAATAAGTTACACGCAATAGAAGCAAAGAAAAGAAGGTTGGCTTTCTTATTCCATTTTCAAAGCAATTTTTTTCCGTTTATTCGACAGAAAGAGAGAGTAACGGGTCTTAGTTACCTTAATGATTCGTGTATCTCACCTGAATC